GACGGACGAAAGTTTCGGAGGCAAGCGTGATTGACATAACGTGAGGTCGTATTTATTTTTTAACGTGCGAAAATTTCGGTGTGCAAGGGCAAGGTGTCTCAGAAAAATAGAGTAGTCTTGAATAATTCGTATTTTGGGTCAAAGCATTGGGGAGTCATGATGACATGAATATTTGTTATTGGGAAATATCGAATGTTTTAGCTCTATAGTGTTTTTGATTTATATTTTGTTGTAAAAGTTATGTCAAGTCATTATTGCAGTCATTAGTGTTCTCTTCGGTGAGATTTCTTCTGTCTCAGCACATACACACTTGTTTTGGTGTATAGTAAGTAACTTTATATAACCTTTTCAGTTTGCTCAACAAACTGATACAAAAATGAGATAAACTAGCATTATTATGAAATACCAACGATCATATTAACTTAAAACGCAAGCTTAGCTGATTGAACGTGAAGCTACAAGTTAACAACTTTGGTCCTCCAGGAACAGGGTTGATTGAAGAATGTATTTCAAGGTAAAAATAATAATATTATTCATTTTTTAAAGCAATATAATTTTTATTTAGTTAGTAGCATGATTGTTGCAACAAATGATGAGTCGAATGAGGCGATTAGCAGAGAGCAAATTTAAGCAAGCTCAAAACCAGTAATAGATGGATTTGTGAATTTATTATAATTTGATAAAAAAATTATTAAACCTAAATGATCAACTTGGTCTTTATTTGTCAGTCAGTGTGCATGTAAATTGCCTTGCTTTCAAATGACATGCTTATTCATATATTCATCTCAGTTTGCTCCCACAACTTGCCAAAGTCAGCCTAATTATTGACTTTATTGTGCCTTTGGCTGTTCCAAGACCACAAATCCTCCTGCACGTTATTGGAGAGCGGAAACACCTGTTCAGCGCTCAGAGGTGCTAAACTACATGTGCTTTTCATTTTTTACAAATTAAATGAATGGTTTTCATAAACACAACTGTAATTGTGGTTCTACACAAATGGAGGCAAGCCTTATCTTTCTGCATAATAAGCTGTCCTCAGAGTTTCACTGCACAGATCTGCCTAATTATTTACATTGACTGAGTGACTTAAGACTAGTGTACACTAAGAACGATAACTATATTAAAGCTGCTGTCCGTAACTTTTTTCAAGTTAAAAATAATCCAAAATAATTATTTAAAAAAAAAAAACATATTCAGCCAGTGTTCAAAACTACCTGCTTGCCGTAGCTCGATTCAAAACGGTTAGCTTGTAATAATGATTTTAATTCCAGTGGTACTGGTGGGTTTCCGCGGGAAATTCGAGCATGTCTTTGCGTCATTACGTCACACCCGTACACATAAAGAAGAGTCTCGGCTAGCCGGCTATACTGCGCGTGACGAGATGTTTAGATGTATAGGCTTTTCTCGCAGCACTTTACATGATTAAACTTATGGCATCCAGAAAGATCCAAACAACAATAATCAGTGTCAACTGGAGATTCACCCGTTATAAAACCCAAAAGACTTCGTACTTCGGATTTAAAGTGGCTAGAGAAAGACAGAAACCGTCTCATGCGAACACAAGGAACATAGGCAGGGCGTTTGGTGCGTGAACTCCGTGTTTTGAAGGGGTTCGAAACGGAAGAAGAGACGCTTTTTTCTGCTGGACAAGTAAGACATTTCAATAGTTCAATCGTGTAACAGTACGTTTTCTTAATTCACACAGTTATGGAGTTTCCTTTGTTGTGCCTTTCTCGTTTTGCTATTATGGAGAATATGAATTCTGAACTACACAGGTAACCATAAAACACATTAAATTTAACATTAGTCACGCAATGCTGATGTTGTTAACATGAACAATTTGAGAACAAAGTATAATTTGCACGGTTCGACATGATAAGCAATCGTTAGATTTAATCAGCGCGATTTACTGCAGTGCAATCAATGCATTTTCCTGTAGTTGATCTGAACAAAAGTGAATGTTACTTACTTGTTCAGATGACATTTTCTGGTGAAAATTCTTATGTTGGTCATCCTGTACTTCCAAAAAGTAGAATGTGTGATTCTGAATGCCAGTTATCCACACCGGCGCTGTGACCGACAGCCGCGACCCGCACTCTCCTCACAACATTGTGTTCATCCGCGCTGTTTCATGCCGATGTACAACTCACATAAAATTAATAATTCCGCGAATGACTGCAATTGCAGACTTCAAACAGAGATGGCGACAAAGAGGAAAAGCTACGGACTGCAGCTTTAACGTCCAGACCAACCGGTGATAACGTTCAGTTTATTGTAAGCAAGCTCTTTGAAGGCGAGTGGATTCTGATTGGATGTAAATATATTTATCGTTCATCAGCTGAAAAAAAATATCATTCTAATAGTGAGTCCAACGATATCATTCCTCTGTGTCGTTATTTATAGCTGTGGTGACGATATCCCTCTCATAGAGTTAGAAAGATTATTACAACTTTATCGGAATAGTTTCTCATTTATGGGGAGACGAGATGTGACCATCTAAATTATGACAAATTAAAACTTTTTTTTTTTATTGTGTTTGATAGTGCAGGAGTATTTTGAATTTCACATGGTTTCACAAAGATAGACTTTGACTATGGCTTAGATATAGTAGATAGACTTCAGATAGACATCTACATCAGACCGTTGCACAAAGCACTGAAGACTCTGACTATCTTAAGTAGGACTACACTGCAATGCATTCTGGGTACAATAAGACACTTTTCAAAACAAAAAACATGGTGGATCGAGTAAGCGCATTCAACCGCTCAGTGCAGTTTACCCCAGCGGGAGATGTGTGTGTTGGAGGAGTTTAACAGTTACAAGAACATACTACTGGGGAAATTTAGAGGAGAATGTAGTAACAAGAAGACATGTTTAATTTGGACAAAGATTGCTGCGACAGTTAACAGCGTTACTCCGACCGTTGAGCGGAGCCTTAAAGACGCACAGAAAAGATACAAAAACATGGTACAACATGCCAAAAAAAGAAATATTTAAGAGGAAATATCCAAAAGCGGGAGGAGGACCCCAAGAGAAACTTAAAGACACTGGAATGGTGATGGATATAAATGGTAATGGTAAATGGTAAATTTTCCCTTTTCTTTCGGCTGTTTGTTTGTAGTGTAACTGATTGTTGCTGCTGGTTGCCAAGGTAACAGAGTCTTACACTTGAGTTAGCCTGGGGGAAAGGTGTCTAATTTTTTTGGTCTAAATTAAGTCAGTCTTTATTTTTGTGAAACAGTCTAACTTGCATTAGACTAGTCTATGAGCAAATTTTAGACTTGTGTAACACTATAGACCGGTCTAAAATAGCTTTGTGAAACCGGCCCCAGTTGAGCAAGAAATATGCTCTTGTGATAATGCCTTTCCAGAGCAGTTCTGCTGCGTAATAATCCACTAATGGATTCTTAATAAATGTGTACATTCAGAAAGCATCCATTTATGTTATGTGATTCATGCCTTCGGATTGCGCAAGAGTTTCAGGCATTGGAGTGTTTAAAATAATTTATAGGTGAATTAAACTTCTAAACTACAAGAAAAATGTGTTTTTTAAACCCTGGTGTGGGTTCTTCCCCTGGTGTGTGTGTGTGTGTGATGGCAGATAATTATTCAAGATGGCATAAAATAGACAGAGTTTAAAGTCTTAAAGAATCAATGTTTGTTTAGGAGAGTCATCAGCTTCATCAGGATCCTCCTAATCTTTGCAGTTCTTTGTGTTAGCTCAGATAAATGTTAAATAGTTCATGTATATTTTGCATAAATAGTTTGATGACGTGTCTTTTGGCAGCTTTACACACACCCAAACCCTCAATCCGATTGCTTTACTACCACAATGCATCAATGTATAAACAGAAACGGGATGGGATCATTTCCATGACTGTATTGCAGTGCGTTTGGGGTGAAATATGACCCATCTAATGTCTTCCATGTGGCGTGTTTGTTAGGACTGTGTGGATGAGCCCTAATCACACACTAATGGTTCAGCTGGAACACAACTCCACTACAGCACTACTAGACCAGCTGTTTATAGCATGTATAAAGTGGTTTTCAACACACATTCTCATCTCTTTTATTTGAGGATAATTTGGCCATTATGAAAAAAAAACCCACAATTTAATTTATTGGAACAGATGAAACATAAGTAATTGCAACATTATGTTAACGGAGCATGAATTATGCTCTATGTTTCTCATATGTAATGGCTCTCACGATGTTTTCAGTCTCAGAAGGAAGTCATTTCACACTGTTAAACAAGGCTGTAATTTGCCCGTAACCGCATACAGTGAGCTTGTTAAACACGTTACCATCTAAACTCCACTCCTGTTGGCTGTGAGATTACTAAATGTAGGGTCTTCATGTAGCATCTCCGACACCACAGCGTCAGCGGCAATCTGATCTCCAGAGGGGTTATGATAAATATGATGCAGGATGAACTGTTTTAGATGAAACATGCCCGCCTCAGCTGCGTTTGCTTGCAGAACATCTAGGATAACGGGAATTTTCCAGTGTGGAGACCCTTACTCTCAGTCTGAGGTTTTCTTACTCATATTTTCTTTTTGTTAGTGCAAAATGTGATCCAAGAGGAAAAGAAGAAATCTTAAATAAAAAAACAAAGTTTAAAAATGAACATGCCAACGTCTTGTATTCATATTGGTTTATTCTGTATTACACCGCTTTTGATTTGATATGCCTCACAAAAATACTTAATTCAGTTATTGACTATGTAGAAAAGGTATCAAGTCATGGTGTGAACTGCATATTTGTGTTTTTTTAATAACCTATTTATTGAATTCTAATATGTTGTTGTTGTGTATTTGTATTGTAAATATTCTATAATTACGAACTACTTCCACTGTGTTTATCAGAACAGATGCTAAAGTTTCATAATTGAATACTCTGATGAGACGGGCAGAGTATTTGACTGTAACTTGAGAGCGCATCTCCTTGTGATTGGCTGGTTATGTCGGCGCAGGACTCACAGTCTGCTCTCTGTCCCGCAGCGCCCGATGTGACCCCGCCGGAGTCTGGAGAGGCCGAGGCTCTCGCTGAGGCCCAGAGCGGAGGACTGCCGACAGCTGAAGGTACAGACGCACAAGACCCCGCTACCCCTCATCCCGAGATAACTCCTCCAGTGTCCGGCTCACACTAACACTGTGGATTTATATGGCCTTTTAATGAACATGTTCTGTACATATTCGGTGCAGTTTCATTTCATTTACATTTGACGTCACAATCCCAATTTGGAAAATTCAAATCAAAAGTTTGCCCCAAAATGCGAATTCTGTGGTTATTTACTGATGCTCAATTTCTGTATAGAGGGAATGCATTAACGTCACTTCCCCGCGGGAACACGCCCCCCTCAGCCGGACTGAGTGGCAGAAGAGCTGCTGCGTGACTGGAGTTAATAGGGGAAACTGCGAAAACGCGAGTAAAACAAAATATTATCAGTTTAACCCCTTAAGTGTCACGGGCCCAAATCCTTTACATTTTTAAAACAGTAATATCCTATACTAAACCTAAACTAATCTTGACAAACTATATATCATTTGAAAGCTTACAATCTCTAGTTTCCATATTTGGTGATTGATTTTCAAAATAAATTACAGAGGAGCCGTAATTTATCAATTTGCAACAATAATATTTTCATACTCTTAGACCTTTATTTTGAAATAGTGATGAACATGAAAAATCATGAAAGAAGGGTAGAAACCTCAGTTTGTTTTCATGCCAAGAGTTCAAAAGATAGCATCCATTCAATTATTTAAAAAAAAAAAGGTCTGAATTTTTTTTTTATATAAAGAAAAAAATTATATGATGTGGCAGGAAGCTAAAACGCACATGCGTGTTCTTTTTATGTTTCTTAGAGGTTGAAATCATATCAAAATCTGCCAAACTTCTCATATTACTTCTGAATAGGATGTCTACTTCATAAATTGTATGAAAATTGTGGAAATAATGGTTCATATCACTCAAAACACATATGGAAATGGAGGCGCCCTTATATGGGCAGTAATGGAGTCTGGTTGTCATCTAGTGAAAAAGTTTGGTACTGCGCCCAAACAAAATCTTACTGAAAGTTCATTTTTTGAGATATCAACCTAAAATTTGAAACACAACTTGTTCAGATTTTTGGCTTTGATTTTTTTTGCAGTTTTAGAATCGCCCAGGTTTTGAAAATATGTATTTTATATAAAATATGAATAATTAAATTTTTTACATTGTACATTTTCATAAACTCAAACTTCTATAACTTTTTTTCTGTTTCACTTTCTTAATTTATTTCACTTCTACAAAAATCTGCCAAATGTCTTCTTTAAAACAAGATCAATCTTACGTCTATATTCCAAAGCATTCTTGAATTACAACCATTTAAGTTCGAAATGTGCATTTTCATGTATATTCAAAAAAAGGGGGGTGACACTTAAAGGGTTAAACTAAAAGTTGGACTCGATAGTGTTCCTTACAACTTATCAAAGATCCAGTGATCCATGGATATTGACATGCAGCCAGGAATCGTGTTTCCTGACATTTATATGTGCCTGATTTCGATGCCGGGGAAATAAATGAAGACAATTTGCCTGTAAACATTTTATATAAATACAATATAGATAGGTCTAAATCCGAGTGATCACTTACATTAATGTTATACTGTATATCATCATATCGTCCAGCCCTAAAACTTGTATAGTTTTTTGTCAGTGTTTATTTAAAAACATCCAATTATGCAGAATATAGTCTGTTCTGTAGCTTTTTGCAGTCTGTAAAAATATACAGTACCTCAGATTTCTGGTCAAATCTAGTTGTACAGTCAATCGCAAAGCTCTTTCCCGTTTTAGATGTGTTTTGTGTGATTTTCACGGCATTCACACTGAAAACAAATGCTGGCGCTCAGTCTTTTCGCCACTTGTGGGCGTGACTGCATTCACTCGGCCGACAGTGACGTCATGCGCATACCCTCTATAGTTTAAGCGTCATGATAGTTAGCTCCTCCCACTATGAAATATCTTTGGAGAAAAATCCCACTCACATAGCTGTATATTACACATCTGATGTTCTGATTGGCTTTTAGACCTTTTTACACCAAGAACGATAACGATATAGCGTCCGTCCACACTAATGAGCGCTGACATTCGGTTAATTGCTGTATAAGTGCGACCCTGCTGCTTTAAGCTCCAGCTCTTTAAAGTCACGTGGATTCTGATTGGCTGGCAATGTGTTTATCATTCACCAGCTGGGGAAGAATCGTTCAGAGGTTGTGTTCACACTTGTAGTTCGGGTCGCTTGTTTCTTTTGGTCATACAAAATACAAATGATAAATGATACATTAGCATTGACGTCGAACTTAAAGGGATACTCCACTTTTTTTGGAAATAGGCTCATTTTACAACTCCCCCAGAGGTAAACTGTTGAGTTTTACCGTTTTTGAATCCATTCAGCCGATCTCCGGTTCTGGCGGTACCACTTTTAGCATAGCTTAGCATACATCACTGAAGTGGACAAGACCATTAGCATTTCTCAAAAAAAAAATGACCAAAGAGTTTCGATATTTTTCCTTTACATTTTCCGTCGGTCTTAGTGCACGATGTAACTACAGAAGAGTCAAGTTTAAAATAGGAAAAATATCGAAACTCTTTGGTCATTTTTTTTTTAGAAATGCTAATGGCATGTCCACTTCAGTGATGTATGCTAAGCTATGCTAAAAGTGGTACCGCCAGAACCGGAGATTGGCTGAATGGATTCAAAAACGGTAAAACTCAACAGTTTAACTCTGGGGGAGTTGTAAAATGAGCCTATTTCCAAAAAAAAGTGGAGTATCCCTTTAAAAGAGTGTGTGTGTGTGTGGAGCAGGAGTGTGTGTGTGTGTGTTTCTTCTCTCCGTATTTGTGTTGGCCATGGGACCAAGGGGTCTGGGGACGAGAGGAGGCAGTGATGGTTCAGGAGAGTGAGTGTGTGTATGAAGGGCAGCGTCTCTAAACCAATAAAGCGCATATTAAATCTCCATATTCGAATGTGTTGTGCAGTTGTGGCTGTTAACAGTGTTCCTCGACAGGACATTTAGTTAGTTATGTGGTGTGTGTTGTAGAAGCGTTATGCTGGTTAGCTCTTCCCACAATAGATCTTGCTGGTCCACCAGTTTATAATGCCACAAATCTCTAAACATTTCAAGTAAGGCTGGGTATCGATACAGATTTCATGATTCAATAAAAATCACCACTCAATACAATTATGGTATAATTAATTGTATATTCTCATTTAAATGGTGCATGATTTAATGGCACAGGTTTCATAAACGCATATTAATAGATGCTCTGAACTTGTCAAAATTGCTCCCAGTAATGAACTCAATGAAAATAAATATGACTGCTCCATCATTTTGAGTTGATACACATTTGCTGCCGTTCGCAAAAAAGATCACAAATCTTATCTTAAATAAAAAAAAATGTAAACTATATCTTAAAACAGGTTTACATGCTTCAAAGGTAAAAAAAACACTTTCATTTTCTAATAATATACATTGCATATCACCACATTTTTCAATGATTCTCAAACGACTCGTCGGATTAATCAGTCTCTCTAAATCCCTCCTCTCTGCGAGTTACTCTGCTCTGATTGGTCAGATGACCCAGTCTGCTGTGATTGGTCTACTCTGCTCTGATTGGTCAGATGGCCCAGTCTGTTGTGATTGGTCTACTCTGCTCTGATTGGTCAGATGACTCAGTCTGTTGTGATTGGTCTACTCTGCTCTGATTGGTCAGATGACCCAGTCTGTTGTGATTGGTCTACTCTGCTCTGATTGGTCAGATGACCCAGTCTGTTGTGATTGGTCTACTCTGCTCTGATTGGTCAGATGTAGGGGTGTGCGATATCACGGTTTTTGATCGTGGACGATTAAAATGTCTCCACAATCTGCTTTTGAAGAAATATCGTAGTATCGTGCATTCCATCAGTTCAGTTCTGGCGCCTTCATCTCAACACATACTGTACAACGCGACGTACATTCACATCACGTTAACGCAGAGGTAGAGTTACACTCACGTTCACGGGACACTGCAATTCACAAAAGTTCATTATTTGCATGTGCTTTAAAGTCTTGCTGGTTAAACATGTCATTTACGTGCTGATGCGCTGTTCTAACATGCGCTTTTCTGAGCGTGTATACGCGACGCTCACAGACACTAAAAGCCTGTCTGACAGTTAAAGTTATCTTTCGAGTCTTATTGCGCTAATACGGTCAAATACACACAAGGTTTACTTAAACAAAGTTGGTTATGACTAAAGTGAAAGCAAACAGAGAAAATCTTCTTATCAAATGCGTGTACATTAGACGCGTCGCATCACTCGCATACAGCTCTTAAAGAGACAGTATCCTAATAGTAAATATGCTGCCGCTTGTCCTTAAAGAGATAGTTCACCCAAAAATAAAAATTCTGTCATCATTTACTTACTCTAATGTTGTTCCAAACCTGTATTAATTTCTTTCTTGTGCTTAAATATACTATGGAAGTCACTGGGGTACATCAACTGTTTGTTTGGTTAGCCACATTCTTCCAAGTAACTTTTATTTTCAACAGAAGAAAGACATTTATTTGGGTTTAAAACAACTTGAGAGAGCAAATGATGACCATTACATTTTTTTGGGAGAACTATCCCTTTAATGTTAATAAAACAACAAAACACAAAGAGGAAATCACTCACTTCTCTTGACTGATTCTTATTAAAGCTTCTATTAAAGTTCTCAATGTATAATTTATACAGTGAAGTCTGTTGTGTTTTATTTTCGTATTTGTTCATTTAGCCTAATTACTTTCTTCAATGCTTAAATACACCTATTGTAGTTAAAAAAATAAAGCATTGTTTATTTCGTTTGTATATTAAGTTGTGTATGTCCAGTGGTGGTAAGTAATGAAGTAAAAATACTTTGTTACTTTACTTAAGTATTTTTTTCGGGGATCTGTACTTTACTTGAGTATGTTTTATTTGCATCTACTTTCACTTTTACTCCACTACAATTTTAAAGACAAAGTTTACTTTTTACTCCAATACATTTCCCCATGACCGCTCCAAGTATTTATTACACTGG